TTTGAGTCTAGAAGAAAATAAATGCAATTGAATTGCCCGTTCTAGCAGTCACACACTCCAGTAACGATTGAACCATCCTCGTCCTACAAAGTTCCTGCCATTATCCAAATAAAACAAACAAATTTTAAAAAACCCAAGTGGAAAACATACAGTTTATAACAGAATACCTGAAAGAAACAAATAGATACCACGCCATCGTAATAATCTTAACTTTGTTATAACACAAAAATAACCATCATACAATTTAGACAGTAATTAAACTTAATAGTCTAGCCGTACTACAGCTGCACTATACCAATGTACATATATTTAACTGAATCTACAGTCGATGGCCCTGGCAGCTAGTATTATTTAGATCTCATGCCTTAGAAGCAATTCCTGATATCAAATAAATCAGGTTTATTGTTTATTGCATTACTAATTGGGTGTTCATGTTCCCATGTATTTTAGAAAATATTTTGTAATCATAAATCATCAGAATTTATTCCTTAAACGGACTGTCGTGAACCGCAGCACCTTACTATTCATAAAATCCCTAATTCAATGGCAGTGGTGCAGCCTTAAGTAAATCCCCACTATTGTTCACTATTTGTACTGACCACTGTAGAAAAAACTTATCATACCGCATACCAATTGCATTCGGATAATATAAGTTCTGATATTCCAAAGGACAGGGAATTGCAGGGCATTTTGTATATATTCCAGGGCTCTAACTGCACCTGTTCGAAGTATATATGGAGGAGTGTGTGTATCCAAGATTGAAAACTGACTATAAGTCCAATATGTATACAGCCATTGTCTCTACTTAAATGAGCAAAAATTTCAATTTGGAGACATCTTAATAAAGCGCTGCCATAGCCAGGACATTCCATCGCTTTAGTGGAACCTGTAATAATTGAAATACAATATAATTGTAGTTTTAGCCTGTAAGAAGTCACTACATTCAGCCAAGAAACTTGTTTGGGGCAAAAGCACATATGAGTAAAGTGGAACCCATCAAAAATTAATCAAAATAGCTGCCCCTTCAAGTAGTCTAAATTGGATCCCTATACAATAGCTTGAAGCTTAAAAAAGGAGCTTGAATTCTCATACGAAAGATAACTTTTTAGGACACTTACTTTATATTCATCCTTCGATAATATCGGTACAAAAATATGCATAATATTCAATAGTCAAATTGCACATTTCATTCTTATCTTTTGCTGATTTTTTCGAACCCAATTCTGTTGAAAATTCCTTGGGCAAAAGCCACAACGGGAACGCTCTAACAAAGTGCCAGGCAACAATAGATGGATCCATTCCATGCCACTCCGTTGCCTCCAGTCCGGCAATAGTGGAGGATTCGTTTTTAAGGATTTTTATTCTTTTGGCCATTGCTGACCAACAAAATGCGCATGTGTGTCCTCCATTGTGCAAACGTAATGATATGGGCCGAAACTACTACCCCCTGTCCCCCTGTCCCCCTACCGAAACTACCCCCTGCCCCCCTACCGAAACTACGAGCACTACACCACAATGGATTGTCGAAACCATCTCAATATATTCGCCCAGGGTAATAGATAAAAACTCTGAAGGAGGAGGAGGAAGCAGCAGCCAAGTGGTCAGGCTTCGAGGGGAAGCCATCTCCGAGCACAAATAGAATATAGAATGGTAGGAAAAAGGCACAATAGGGCTGGCCTCGCCTCAAGTGCCCGAAGCGAGATTTGCATGCGGCCAGGGGGCCTTGGTACCGGGTACGGGCGTGGCTGTGGCCCATTTCGGTTGCTACATGAATTGGACCCAACCACAGACAAACCAATGGATGGCAGGACGGGGCTCAACTGTCGATTCTATCGTTTTATATACGAGTATCAGTGTTCGAGGATACTTGTCGCCCGGCCCGGTACACTAAGCATTCAAAAACCCAGATAGTGCCCCAAATGGACCAGAATATTAGATGTGCGATTCACGTTTTTCATGTGAGTTATTCGATAACAATTGGCATTGTTGGTTGCCCCTCCCTCGCCCGCCTGATTTCCCTTTGTGAATTTCGAATTTTTGAAGACACTTTTGTGACTTTAATTGAACTGAAAGTGGGACTTTTGTCGGTGTTAATATTTCCACAATGAAACCAAACCGAAATCTATCATTTTATTTGATTTTATTCGCATTCCGAGTGTTTGATGGTCTGCAAAACACCTGAATTGAAGCGAATACTGAACCTTAAATTATTACCTTAGGAAATGAAGTGACAAATTTTTGTGACAAATTCCTGATTGCAAAAGCTTTTCCAAGGCAAGAAGTACCAAGAGAAGTGGGGTTTTTCACACAGGAGATGTGGCCACATCGTCCCACACGATTCCACAAAATAAGGGGTTTTTAATACGTATTTGTTCACCAAAAAAATATGAAATTAAACACGAATAATCAACCGAAATGTTTTAAACATTGATCATAAATTTCTTACTATCGTTCACAAAATAAATGTGCCTGCCGGAACCCAAAAAAAACCTCTTGCCCGCGTGTTCCGGCCTTACCTAAATGGAAGTCTATAGGGATGCCACTCTTAGTGGAAAAGGAAGCGTGCCAGATGTAACCAATTCAGACTGGAGACCCCACTGGGTTCTCGTTATATACAGCTGTTCCACTAGCACACATTCGGGTACATTCGGCTGTGAAACTTTCACCTAAACGAACGGCCACATTCGCTGTGAATAAGGCGTACAAAAACCATTCGCCTTGAGTGATTCATGATTTTTCTGAACAAATGCTTTGAGCCAAACAAATTCTGGTTCATTGCCGGCCTAATCATGCTCTTCAAATGCTAAACAATCTAATTTCTTGCTTCATTGTTATACAGTTTTGTGAAGTTCTTTAGCATTTTCATTGACAAACTTTTGGCTTCCAATTAACGAATTTGGACAGCTCGGAGTCGGAACAGGAACACCTCTCCGCAGTGGAGAGTGGCTTATAAATATATTTCGAAAATGTCGCTCATCAAATTGCCATTGTTGGACCGGACAAGTTTCGTATTTGGCCTGACAACTTCTCGAAAAGTGCGCCTTGAAGATGGGAGCTGCAAAGTTCTTGACAGCCAGGAACGGAGCCACAACTAGCTCCACGGCAGACGCCATTGGGACTCGCTCTGGGGGCGGAATATTAATTTGATAATTTTACGGCTGAATGCAAATGCGGTGTCAGAGTCCTTTGGCCCCTAATTGACTGACGAATATTTAAAATATGAATTTCAAATGAAGTTCAACAAATGTCTGCCACCATTTGGCGCTTTCTTTTGCTTTATGGGGGATTAATTATGGATGGTAGATGATCGGGGCGGGGGGGATGGATATATGAAGCGCCTGAAGCCATTTTCTGTGGCTGCCACTGAACACACTTTTGCCCCGGTGGAGCATTAATCATGTGAAAGTAATTTTGCGCATTTGCATGCGTTGCAGAAAACGATAATTTTCATCCATCATTTTCAAGTGTTTCCCCAGGATTATAGTGCCTGGCAGCCAGCCGTTGCAAGGAGTCGTCTGCATCCACTTGATGATGCGTTGCCTTGTCATGTGCTCCACTCCACGCCGCTCCACCCCGCTCCACCACGCTCCCCTTGCTGCTGTGCTGTGTATGTGCTCCCCTCATTATCGTGTCGTCGTCAATTATTCTTGTTCTACAGCTAGAGCCAGCACTCTTGCCGAGCCCCAAGCCCGGCCATGGAGGAACTTTGCATTTAGTTGATGAGCTTCCCCTTTCCTCCACCCCCGACCCAGCCCATACCATCCCAGCCCGATCCAATGGCTCATTTTCTTGGTCCTTTGTGCCCCATCTTTCTGCTGGCTGCAAGTTGATCAATGGCTCTGTCCGCTCCCTGGCTGTCCCCGGCTGTATAGTGTTTCATGCAATTACGAATTTATATTGCGTATACGCCATGTGGAGACACAGACACTGCCAAGGAAGTCTCCTCGAATGTGCTTACCACAACTGCAGCAATAATGAACTTTGATTTGGCCCTCCCTGTGCCCCCGGCCTAGACCAGAAATGTTTCACAGTCTGTTTCACAGCTCCTCCCTGGGCCGGGTGCACGAGAAATTGTATATAATTGCTGATTGATGCTGTTGTGGTGCTTGCCATATCGTATCTAAGAAGAGGCATTAATCACCACAACTGGAGCACTTTCTAAAATTGCATTTCTTGATAACCCATCCACCGAGTACAAGAAGGCTATAGTTTGCACGATAACCTGTCCAAAATGAAGGTTTTTCTGCCAACACCTCAACGTCTTAGGGATCGTTTGATTGAATGACGGGAGATTCTGTCTGATTGAAGACCAAACCCTCCCCAGGTTAAAGTTTAGTAATCATCATTTTATTCATTGAGGAAAGTGTAAAGAGTGTCAAATGATAGCTTTTAAAACTCTTCTCAATGCAGAAAGTTCTTTAATGTCAACAAAACCTGAAGACCAGACAGAGCCACGAGGCGATCGTCTGCAGAGAGCAGTCTTCAGTTCTGAATGAGCCGAGAGCGAATCCGAGGAGAGATCCCTCAGTTCTCTTGGACCTCTACTTATGAATAAATGTTCATCACTGGTCATAGCGCCATTGTTGAGCCATAGAGCTTCTTCAGAAGTGTAAATGCGATCCGGAACTGTTTGAAATGAGTAAACAATTTGTTGGAATACATATTATACGAGTATAGATTTTGCTAGGGTTGATTTAGGTGCGAGAATTACCACAATCGGGCCAGAATTGTCCCCTGTCTAAGCGATAACAACGTCTTCTGATTATGATGAGATTATACAGAATATACATACATTCCAATCTCATCATCGCCAACCAATGAATCGATCGATTCTTAAGTGTTTTCCGCTTTGCAGACGAGCCCCCTGGCAGCTCTCTTCGTTGAAAATCGATGAGCAAAAGCGATTGAGAGAAGCGTAGGGAGAATCCCCCAACGAGTGGCACTACGTTTAGAGATCTATTCTTTGTGCTGCCATCAAGCAAATGAAAATTCTAAATAAATATTTGCAGGCATTTCCCACAATCTGGGATGATCATATAATTTAAACTAATTTAAAGACATGCCAAGGCTTTCCTAGTTTAAATGTTGAGTGTCACAGCCCGCTGGCTGTTCTTTAGTTATGGTTTCTGGGAGTAATCTTTGCCCTGGCTGCTCTTGGCCTGGCTTTCCAGTTCAAAAACAGAGCTCTTTGGCTGCATTTCTCTTTTCAGCCTCTGGTTACTGGATCCAGTGCTATGATCGTATAGGCTCAACCCCCAGACGGGCAGTCGTCGACGGTCGTGTTCGGGCACTGAGGGAAACACAAAGTCGGGCTTATACGTGGGCTTTGGTCGTGGATCTGTAATACGAGTAGAGTCGAATTATAAATCAAGCCATAAAATGCTGGGAAAGTAAACCTTACTGACAATGGAGCTGCCAGGGGAGACGAGAGCTGTGAGCGTGTACACCATGAGGAGTAATCCGAGTCTCCGTAGATTCCGCATTGTGGCAGTAAACCGATCCGACTGATCCGAGGGTTAGAGTTCTATTGAGGCTAGATCTATTGCCAGCAGTCAGTGCCAAAGCTCTTGCTCTCTCTCTCTCTCGGGAATGCAGCTTAAGAGCAGATTTTTATATTGATGATTCGTCTGATTCATTGAAATTTCTCAGTTTATAACTTTGAAAATTCCCAGTAAGGCCCCCCCCCTACCATGAGGCGTATGCTGATCAATGACTACTGTTTAATGACTATAGTTTTCCCCATAATATTCTGTATTCATTCGTTGAAACCTCACTAGCATTAGGCCATAAAACGTCGTGGCTTTGGGCCATTGAAGTGTCTCGCAAGTGCGTCCACCATCTGCTTGGCCTGCTTTAGATCTTGGCGGCACCAAGTGGAAACCATTCAGCATATGTTGCCGTTTTCTTGGCACCGAGCCCCTCCGTTGGCCATTAATCTACTGGGGAACGCCCTTGCCAGATGTTCGTGGGAGTGCGAAAGCATTGCACACATGTCTCTGCCTTTCTTTCTTTTTTTTGGCAGCATTTAGTCTCTGTTTAATTGGATTTGGGGCTTAGCTGAATCAGAGCCCCAGAAGGATGGACAGAATAATATTTGCATATTCGAGCAGTGGCGACAGGCGACAGGCGACAGGCGACAACAGCCAAGTGTAAATTTCACTTGAACTGATAATTTCACTCAATTTGTGTGCGCTGATGAGCAAAGTTTTCCCATTTGCATGGGGCTACGTGGGGCACCACCTCCCGGGCGAACGGGCGAATGGGTGGCAAGTTTTCATCTATGGCTGCCGCTGCCGCTGCCGCGATTTCTTTTTTCTCGACGCTGTCGTCGTGGTCCTGCGTCCCCGTCCTGCGTCCTGGCCCTCGTAGTCGAGGCTGACTTGAAGGTGCCAATTAGGGATTTCCGCCTCAATTACTTTCGCGAGCACACGAAAACCAAGTTTGTATGATTTTCGCATGACAAACTTAGGACTGGCTCCAGTCCCTGCCCCTGCTCCACCCTCCCAAAAGCGAGTGCCTGAACCTGCTTCCTTTCGCAGAGTATTTGCTTCCTTGAAAGTGTAATTGCACGAGCAGCGCCCCCGAATGTTGTGTGTGCGTGATAAAAAACTCGTTTGCATTTTACATGTTTCATCAAAAAGGTGGGGGAGGTGGGTTGCCGCCGGGAGCCCGAATACTCCAAGTAGTTCGTGTGGCTTTCCATCGAAATGGAATTCCACCCAATGAGGGTGGGGGCTGGGGGCTGGGGGGGGCCCAAAGTAATTTGAATTTCTTGCGAATGCGTTTCTAGTTCATTGATTGGTTTTTCGAATATGTTAATACTTTGGCAACTCTGGGGACATGATGGAATGCGACTGATTTTACACACATACGATTGTAGGAAATTGGTGTTAAAGTAAATGAAAGTATGTCTGCTTGTGAATTTCAACTTATTTTAATAGATTTTGCAGCGAGATTTTGTCGTCTAGATTCAGGTGGTAAAGTATTTTCATTGATCTGTGGCGAAGATTCAGAAGCAAATTCGATTCTGGCTTAACACCTCAAGACTCTGAATTATCTACTGGAGCTGCCCGCGGAGATGGAACGTCCACCTCTTAAATAAACCCTTGATCTTCTACTTCTGTTAGACCTTTCAAAAGGCAGAATTTTTTATGGTAGAGGACAAGCTTGGTGTCTTTTTTGTATGGAAAAATGCTTGATGCTTGACCGCCTCTACGATCGTGTCCGTCCTGACCATTCGACTTTTCTCAAAGAAAGCCATTAACGATGCCAATTGCTAGGCGTGGACGGTGGTTTGGAGCCACAGGAGCCACAAGAGCATCTAGACTTCTGTCCACAAAAGTCTGCCAGGACTAAGCTCCTATCAGCCGCGACCGTGAAGTCTGCCAGCAAGCCCACGCCTCCCCTTCGGCAAAGATCAGCTGGGGAGGAGCTCCGTCAGGGCTTTGAAATGGTTCTACCAACGGGTGGCCCTCTCCTTTGGTCTCTGGCAGGAAAGCCAAAATGATTTGCCACGCACTTCCGCCAGCCTAAGGTCTTTGAAGGTCTCTTTCGAGGAGAAGTAGAGATCCGACCAGCAGAGCCACAGCCACATGACCTCCAGACTGAGGAAAAGAGTTCCCCATCCTTGAAGGTGGTGGGAAATGATTCGTTAAGCACTTCCACCAGCCTCATTAAGGCCTCTTCAGAGGAGAAAAAGCCACAGCCACATGATCCTCATCGGCCTCTAGAATGAGGAAAAAAGTTCCCCAAAGTCCGCCTCGAAAGATCTCCAGCTGAATGCCAAGAGCGAGCCTACAGCTGCAGGAATTGATTCCCTCGTGAATGGCAGCTGCTGGATGTACCTATATTTATATGTAAAATGTAATAATGAAAAGGAATTAATCAATCAAAGTCTCAAAGGAGGAGCAAAACCACAGCAGAAGAATACTTCTGTGTTTCGTCTCGATATACGAGAGTGCACCGAGGCTCTGGCAATCTATTTCATGACATTTGCAAAGAGAATCCTGCCAATATACTCGTTTGTGGGCAAAAATAAATCAGGGCACAAACTGAAGGCAAACCCATGGCCATGGGCAAAGGGGGGTGGGGGTGGTGGGGTGGTGGGGAAGGGGATGTGTAATCTGTAGCAGAATCTGTAAATTTGCAATACCTCAACTAACAGCAATCGGTTTATCGGAGCCTTTCAAATCAAAACCAATACCGGACTAACGACAAAGACAAACTTTCAGCTGTGTTGTGTGCCTACCTTTTGTCAAGTCATGGCCCAGCCCAGTTCTCCGAGCACTTAGCAATATTGAATTGCAGTCGGAATCGGATCGAAGTGGTTAGAACGACAGGGAATTATTTGCTGCCCGTCCTTGGGCAAGGGGCTGTGGGGGGTGGGGGGGAGTGTGTGACGATTTCGAGTTGAGTCCTGCTGCTTAAGTGTAATTAAATTCGTTCTGCTACCCCTGCTGATTCTCATCAAATGGATTGATTTATGATGATGTGAGAGTCTCTCCCTCTCCCTCTCTCTCTGTGACTGACTGACGGGCCGTGACATAATAAATCGCTTGGTCCTGGGGCCGGTTCAACACTCACATGAGAGCTGCCTGCCAGATTTCACATTTGAAAATTAATTTGCGAAAAACTTTTGCCCAGGCTTTCGCCGGCTTTCCCCCGGGTTTTCTATGCTCGTAATACTACAGAGTATTTATTATTTAATTTTGTGCCCCGTTGTGTACTTTGGCGTACTTTTCCGCTTGGCTGCTGATGTCGGGCTCTTTTCTGCTCTTTTCCGTTGTGTTGACGGCAAAGTTTAATTTTTATTGTTGTTTGACTTTGTTAAATGATTTTTATTGCCTTTTTCTTTGGCAAGAAAGAGCAGCGAAACCTTTGTAGGAATTTAATAAAACTGCTGTGACCATATTGCCGAGCAAACACACACAATGCAGGTCCACTCTTTCGTCAGGACATCGCAGGGCATCTCCTTCTTTGACAGAGTGCCCTTCGTCTTTTATTCCACTTGGATTTATTGAAACGCTCCGACGAGTTTTACGTGAGATATGAGAACCATTTGATTGTGCTTTTACAAGGGCCCGGCGGATTGTGAAATATTTCATCCAGCCAAAAACCTGAAATATTGCCGCATCTTTCCAGGCAAAATCAAAGTACAAAGCATAAATAACCCAAAAACTTGGTGGAAAACCGCAGCAAAGTATCCTAGAAATATACGTGTTTCTTCTCCCACCCCACCCCCCTCCTGTTTCCACCTTCAAAGTCACCACAATAAAGGCTCCTCTGGAGTGCCTCACGCGGTTCAAAGAACTTTTGCTTTCCTTTAAGTGGAAGAGGTGAAAATTAAATTTAATTACAGAAGCCAGACCTGGGTGCTCATATTTGGAATACGCTTAAGTCAGGCAGCAGGCCCTAGACCGCATTAGGCGTGCAATTTTGGTCCCTTAAAGTCCCTTAAAGAAGCAAGAGATTGGTCCTAAAGGAGGTCCAAAGACCTCCAAAGACCTCAGTGATTCGATTTGCAAAGGTATTGAGTGGTTTGGGCCAGAAGAAGGTGCTGAAACTCCAGCACCCCCATTGGGCAAATAAGGGAGACTATCACTGACTGATACCCTTCCAAAACAGTGGCTTACTGCCTTCCTATAAGAGCCTGTTTGCAATGAATTGATTATTCGATTGGCCAGTAGACTATTGTTAAATAAATTGCATGTGGAACTATTGGAAGAATTCCCAATGAATGCCTGCCAAAGCGAACAAAGCACGGATTAGAAGGACGATTTGCAGTTCACTCAAGATACCAGGGGGGCAGAGGGGCAGGTTGGCAGGGGGGTCGCTGCATTTGTGTCAACTGGTTTTGTTATGGATGTTTGCATTAGTGAGCAATATATCTTTTTCAATGTGCCCCCCCCCACTCCCCCCTCGTCCCGCCCAGACCCCTTCTGTTGTCCGAAAGCGAACAATGTACGCATTGCGTCACTGCGAGAGATACTGCGAGCCTGCGAGCCCATTGTTTGACCTGAAACAAAGCCAAAGCTCTGCGACATTGTGCCCCTTGTGAGCATTTCGCTTTGGTCATAGTTTTAATCTCACTAATGGCAGCGCCAGTGCCAGTGCCAGTGCCGGGCTCCTGGGCCATGTGGGGCACAATAGACCAGACTCTCGAGCTCATGTCAAAAAGGTCCTGCCTGCTGCAGACGACAATTCCATTTTGCCCTCCCTCAAAAGATCCGCCAGACAAAGCCATCAAAATCTGAATAACCTACATACGAGAATAGTTCGGTGGACTCGAAAGAGTATTTCTTTCTCCATTATTTGTAGGCCTTTAGCTATAGGTAATGCCGAAGAATTATCCATTTTTGCATTGACTTATGATCTGGTTTAGGCAAAGCCTTCCGTGTTGGTTAAACATTCACAATATCCACTGTATTTGTAAAGTAAATTATAAAATTAGTGCCTGCTGAAGCATGTTTGAACCCCATTGAACCCCCTCACTATGAATTATATATTCGATAATC